CGCAGCGTGACAAGGGGCGCCTGGGGTTTGCCGTGACGTCAACTCTCGGTCTTTGCTTTTGCTTTCTGTGCCCTGATGAGGATGACATTCGCCTCGGCGGGGGGTGTGGGGCTTCGCAGAGGGCCTTTAACACCAGCCTGCTCTAACCCAGGTAGATGGGGCCCATCGGCCACAAGGCCCAAACAGGCCAACTGCCGAGCGCAGGGTGGAGGCAGTGGAGCTACAGAGCGGGGAGGAAGGGCCTTCCCCGCTGAGTGCACGTGGCTGTAGAACTGCCAGGTCAGAAGCAGGAGCCCACAGTGTCCTGATTACAGGGAGGGGGAGAGGGAAGGAGCTTCCTGAGAAGGTTCGTGAGACCTTGGAGAGGTCCCCAAGGACGGTAGGGACCCACCTCCCGTAACCCATGACAGGAGCCAGAAACAGGCATGTCTCTGGGTGACAGCAGGCTGTCTCTCCCCTGGAAGGTGGGGAGGGCTTCTGCCCCGTCTTCCCCCTCCCTGGACTCCTCCTGAGTCTCCTTTCCTTCCAGGCTGCTTGGTGCGTCCTGCCGTCGCGTGTCCTGCTGGTGCTGACCTCTCAGAAAGGGATCCAGGTGAGGTGGTTTTCCACGGAGGGCGAGAAGCAAAGTCACGATGCCAGGAAGATAAGCTCGCTGTGAGGGGGTGCGGGGGAACCTTCTGGAGGTCCTGCTGTGTACCCAGCGAGCTGTCACTCTCTCGTGGAGACCTGAAGCCATAAGAGAAACTTCCTCACCCTCTTGGGCCTCACCCTGTTGCTTTCTCTCTCCAGATGTACGAGTCCGACGGCTCCATCATGGTGTATTGGCATGCACTGGACTTCACGGAGCATCGTCCAGGTAAATCCCGCAGTGGGAGTGCAGCGACGAGCCCCCCAGCCCCTCTGCCCGCTCTCCTTCCCCGGATGTGTGTGATTCCTGTGGTGCAGCCCGGTTCCTCCTGGCCTAGAGACCCCCAGCAACCTTGCTCCCGGACGCGGTTAGGATCGAGCCAGGACAGCCCTGCACAGCAGCTTAGCAGAAGGGTCTGGAAAAGGTCATAGCGTCACCCTGACTCCTCGATCCTGGCTTGACGGGGGCCCGGGGGGCTGCAAAGGGGCTCAGAGGGACCCGGCGTGGCAGCTACGGGACTAGCCCTGAAGATGAAACTCGAATGGGCACCCCGGTGCCTCACACCGATGCGCTGGTCTCCCAGTCCCCGGGAGCTGCCACAGGTCATGACCAGCTCTTGGTTTCTTTTCAGCACAAGCAGTGTTTGCTCGAGGGATCGCTGCAGCTGGCGGACGCTTCATCTGCGTGGGTGAGCCAAGCCCGGGAGTTCGGGGAAGGGCAAGAAAGGAGGGGGGGGCGGCGCTGGGGCCCAGGGACGGTGTAACGCTGTGGGGTCAGCCGAACGGGCTGGGTTTGCGTTGCGGCTCTCGCAGGGAGAGCTGCTCTGTGCTGAACAGAGGGGCCGGTCTGCGAGCGGCGTCTGCAAGGAGCAGCCCCATGGAGGCAGCGGGTCTCGGGGGAGCGAGGAGCCCGGCTGCAGGCACGGCGAGA